TAAATGCAGGGATGGATGGATGGATGGGCGCTCATATCCCACGCTAAGGAAGACCAAGCTGGAAGGTTGGTTCTTATCTAGCAAACACACTCAAGCTACATTGCCCCTGTCTCCCTGGATGACTCTCTTTCAAAGCCAGAAATGGGACCGTGTTCATAGGCTATGGAGACTTTCTTGACTCCCTCTTCCACCAGCTGCTGGGGTCTCTTCCTAGAGGACAGCTTCAATGCTTCGCATTGGATGCGGCTCTCTGCTGCCCACTGTTGACCAGGCTTCTGTCACCCCAGAGCCTGTGTGTGGGTGTGTGGTGGGGGCGCTGCCCAGAGACGCCCACGCTTGCTGCGTTGTTGCTGAGTCTGCTCCACAGGTGCCGAGCCACCTCCTGTCGAACAGGTGCTGCCAGTGCTGGTGCCACCGCCACCGCCAGTACTGGTGCCACCGCCACCACGCAGGTGCCACCAACACTGCCGGCGCCGGGCTCACCGCCTCTGCTGCCACTGCTGCCACCACGCTTTCGGAGCCCCTGCCTCATGCCAGTCCTGCAGGGGCCGGAGCTGTAGAACCCACCCCCGCTGGAGCTCCCCGAGCGGAGAAGCAAGCAGAAATGGTCAAGTGCTGACCTAGTGTCCCTGCCTCAGCCCTAGTCAGCACGTGACTAAGAAGAGGGACAAATCAAGGGACAAGGACAACATGAAGCACTCCAAAGGACCTTTCTCATCCAAACCATGGTCGCCGAGTCCATCTTTGACTCATAGTGACCCCAGAGGACCAGAGAGGACTGCTAGTCGGGTTTGGTGACTGGCTTAGCTACTAACCAGGAGCTCACTAGTTGGACCCCACCAGTGCTTCCAGGCTCGATGGGGACCTGGTGATCTGCTCCAGCAAATACTGAAGTCTGAGGACTGCTCTGTGCCCCTTCTAGTTCTATGGGTGGAATCGGACTGCCCTGGCACACAGCCTCACTGGCCAGTTTTACGCAGACGGCCACGCCTTTCTCCGGTGGGGCAGCTGGGGGCTCTGACCACCCCCAGTCCACTTAGCAGCTGTACGCTTAACCACTGCACTGCCCAGACTCATCCTGGCCTTAGCTACACAAAAGAAAAAGCAAAACCCCTCAAACCCAATGCCATCGAGTCCACTCAGGCTCATTGTGACCCTACACGTCGGAGTAGAACTGTCCCTTCGGGCTTCCATGACCTTACATCTTTACTGGAGCAGTCAGCCTCATCCTTCTCCCGGAGACGGGGCGGACAGCAGCTCGATCCGGAGCCCACTCCACCACCAGGACTTCTCTCAGGAGGGGTTACTTCTGGGAAGGTGAGCTCGTCTCTCGTGCTGACAGATCCCTGGCCAACCCAACACTACTGGCAGGGCATCTGTTCACTCATCATTCACCACGTCTGAGTTCCAGTTCATCAGCAGTTCTCTCTCCTCAAATATACACCGAGTATGTGGTTCAAAACCGCCAGCTGCTCCCCTGGAGAAAGCCGAGATTTCAACTCCCATAAAGAGCTCCAGTCTCAGAAGCCTGCAGCGGCAGTGGTGCCCCGTCTTGGAGAGAGGGGTGCTATGATTTCCACGGTCCCATGTGACACAGACAACAGAGGAGCCGGCCAGGAACGCAGCCCTCGGGTGAGGAGGGAAGCTGGAAACACCACCTTCAGCTGCCCTGAGCTGTGACCTGGGAATTGGGTCTTGGATGTTCAGAAAGCAAATTGTGCATTTGTCCAGGTCACTCTGCCCTCCTCCGACTGAGCGTGTGCTGCTCCGGATGCCTGTGTGTTAATCCCAACATGTAGCTGCGGAGCTGGGTGTGAGCATTCTATGTGTGCGCAATGGTTCTGGGATGGGTCCTGGTTCCCGCGGCCCAGGTCAGCACCAACCCACCAACTGCCAGCATCCAGTCAGCTCTGACTCACAGTGACCCTGCGGGCCCAAGTGAAACTGCTCCCTGGGGCTTCTGGGGCTGCAAATCTGCAGGGAGGAAGATAACCTCATCTTTCTCCCTCAGAGAGACTGGTGGGTTTGAACTGCTGACCTAGCAGTTAGCAGCACAGCGCAAAACCCACCCTGCCTTCAAGACTCCTTTTGCAGGGAGAGCAGATCCAAGTTCTGGCCCAACGTTGCTCTCGGGACTGCCTGTTTGTGGTGCAGTGCCTACAGCCTGTACTTGTCTGTGTTAATCAACCGACAAAATCACTGCCTTCGGGTCGATGCTGACCCGTCGTGACTGTAGAGGACAGGGTGGAGCTGCCCCTGTGAGGCTCTCAGATTGTACCTCTTCACGGGAGTAGAAATCCCCATCTTTTTCCTGAGGAACGGTTGGTGGTTTTGAACCGCTGACTTTGCAAAGTGCAGCAAAACCCATGACCACTATGCCACTAGGGCTCCTTTGTTTAAGTTTTTTATAAAGAAAGAAACAGGGTGGATTGGGGTGGCAAGCATAACAGATGGGGGTAAATAAAATAAATATTGCTGTAAAATCATAGGAACTTTTCTTTTAACAAATATCTAAATGTGAAATGTGAAGTCACTATTTCTCAACATGTCCTCCATTGAGGTCGATATACTCCTGAAGGTGGTGTTTCACTCCAACACTCCCCCTCCCCACCGATTTGGACAGTCTCTGATCTACACCACTTCAAAACAAGGAACCCCAATCCTTTTTGGTGGTTTTGTTAATTCAGGAACAAAAAGAAGTCTCGAAGGACAAGATCAGGGTTGTAGGGTGGATGGGGTAAGGTTTCCCAATGAAATTCCCCTAGGATAGCCCTTGTCACCCTCAAAGAAGGAGCAGGTGATGGGGAGACTCAGACCCCCCTGCCTTGGGGCAACTTTCCTGTCCTTTTCTCAGCAATGCAGTTTCCATTTCCTTCAAACTTATTGGGAATAAGCCCCCGGGGGCCTCTGAAATGGCTCACGTTAGAAGGACCTGGGAACGGTGAGAGAAAATAAAATTGTGGAACAAACTCAGCCCTGTGATAGAATCTGAATCAAGACCGAGTCCCGTGGGTTAGGAAAGGGGGAGGGATGGAAACAGGACACCCAGGGTGGAGGTGGGGTAAGAGATGGGTGCCCTGAGGGGACTACAATGGGGACGTTAGAAACAAAACTTATATGAACTGTTGCATGTCCAGCCCACGACCTGCTCCCCAACCTTCCCCTAATTCAAAAGAAGTTAACACCAAAAGCCCTGGGATTGTCTTGTGCGCATCTTGAGAGATATCGATACCATAACCTCCTGAGCGGACCTCTCTGCCTATAATTGAAGTGGCCCGGCTGATCATCCTTGGCAGCACGGTGCCGACAACAGAGACATGCTTCGACATGCTTCTCCTGGAATAAATCCATGTGTGTAGGAACCGGAATCACCAGAAGCAATACTTTTTGACTTACCCTGGTAGGTGTGTATGTCTATGTGGACACACGCCCGACCCTTCCAGTCTCTGAGCAGGTGGGAATCCACTTCCTGATTCGATCTATACAAGGGGGCCCCAGAAAGCTTGTGGGAAAACCTCATGGTCTATTCATTCCAGCCTGGACTGTCATGTGTGCATCTAATAGTCATAGCGGTGTTGCGACTTGGCGTGTGCTCGACAGCCGCCTGAAAGATTCTTGAAGAGCATGGGGGGAACCCCCAAAGCGGGCTGGGACAGGGGGCAGGGTCTATCACTCGCTCCCTATTTCTCAGCCCATCCTTTTTCTCCCGAGTAATTAAGCCAAACCACGAAGCATTTGAGCATTTCCCAGGGGCAGGAACTATCCACTTGGACAGGACAGAATTCCTTTCCATCACTGTTTTCACTTCTGAAAAATAATAGTCAAGCCTTGATTAGGATGCTTTCGGCTGGTTTCTCACCAGTTTTATTAGGATGGATGTCTTTAGAAGTCTGATACTTTGAAGGCTGTGCAGATGTGTGTGTGTGTGTGTGTGTGTGTGTGTGTATGTGTCCCCTCCTATTGTTCTATCCCTAAAACATTTCCTTATTTCCTTTCTTTTCCCACTCCTTGATTTTTAGAGAGGCTGGTGGGGGCAATGCCCAGCATCTGGAGTCTGGTCCAGCGATTGCTAATGACCTCCCAGAGATAACCCCAACTGCTGATTTAGCAAAGCTCATTCTTGACCTTGACACAAGAGTGGCCAGGCGAAGGGGAGGGGCTTGGGGAGAAAGGCCCCTCGGAGGGCTCCCAGCCCAGCGAGCCCCCTCCCCCATTCAGCAAACACCTGGCCGAGTTGGAAAACACGAAGCGCCCAGCCTTCCTGTTGGCACCGATTGAAGCTGTCAGCTCTCCGCTTGTCACCAGTTGCACTGGGAGGCCCCGGGCAGCCACAAGAGCCCTAATTAGGCAGAAATGACACTTCTACAACTGACCTGCCAGGACCTTTGGCAAATCATTTAACATCATTAGTTAACATTTTTAAAAGTGTGAATGTAAATGAACAGCCAGTGGCTTTCAATGGAGTTTGTCGGTGGTATCTCTCTCCCACCCCCCCTAACCACTCCCACCCCACCTCTACCCCCACCCCAGTCCGTTGTACTCCTGCCCCCAGGCTCACTCTTTCTCTTTTAACATGAATAGTCCACTTGTTTTCACTGAAATTGGAGGGAGGGGCTGAGAAAGATGGAGGAAGAGGCCGGCCCTCTGGGAGGGGAGACGGAGGAAGGTGCAAACAAGCTCAGCAGAGCCGGGAACAGCTCTCCCTGCCTCTGTGGGGCCCAGCTCCCAGGGCCACCCGAGTGGCACACCCCCACCCCCACCTCCCCGCCCCCTGAACCAGCCTGGCAGCCTGGGTGGGCAGCAAGGGCTTTCCAGGCATGGGGCAGGTGGGAACCTTAACTCAAGGATGCCCTTGTGAGTCACTCGTGGCCATTGGGAATGGGCAGCCATTTAGTGCCTCGTGTGTGCTTGCCTGGCCCTCGGGGAGTGGGGAGTGGGGAGTGTCTCCCAGACTGCCCGTGAACACAGGTGGCTGGTTCAGGTGCCGCTTGGAGTCCTACCTGCAGCGGTTATTTCCCACCTTGACTCACACTTCAGTTTGCTCTTGGCTTTGCATCCACAGAAGCTGTACATGCCGACACTCTCCATCTGCGGGGGGGAAAACAAAGGGTCTCACTGTGGGTACCACTTGGTCTGTCTCCATGGTGGTGGGGGAGGATAGTTGTGAGAAGCAGCATGGGGTGAAAGAGAGCAAAGGTTTCGGTGGGCAACGGAGGAACCGGGTACCTGGCAGGCCATATGTACACTTCCTGCCTACTTGTGGATGGCCTTTGGCAAGGGGCCTGGGCCTGAGTCTCAGAAGCTTTTGTCTGCAAGACAAAGATAATGTCTTACCACTCCAAGTGAAAGCAACGTTGATGGAGACCCACTGGGCAACGTGTATCTACGGGAGGAGCTTGCTGCCCAAACTGAACTGCGAGGCCATGTTCTCATCTGTCACAGGGTCTTGGGGAGGGAACGTGGAGACTCGGTTTTCTTTGTTTCTCAAAGCATACTGGACCCATTAGCACACTGTGGGTCCTGCCCTGCTCCCTGGCCCCTGCCACTATCAAAAGGACTGCAGGCATCTAAAAGTGCAAGGGTGGCAAACAAGTCCCTCGAAAGGTATGGTTGAAACATATATACCAGAGCAAGTCAAGAAGTATTGCTACTAAGGTTCTAGTTCAAACATGCATGGGCATACTGCAAACAAAATGTCCACAGGCACCTCCGTGGCCAGTGCGTGGCTGCAGACGTCTCTCAGTCATACACTGGTCTTCGTCTCATTCAAAACAAAAGCAGGATGATCATGGGGGCTCATTAGGAAGAAGTTTTAAGAACAATGAAAACGGCATTTGTGGGAACAGGGCCAGGAGAATTGTGCCGTGGAATGTTTGGTTCTCGTTTTTTGTTTGTTTTTCCATCACAACACAGCAAGGTCGTCCTGTAAGGCAGCAAGCAAGGGTGTCTCAGAATTTCACAGAGAAACCTTACCCCATCCACCCAACAGCCCTGTCCTTGCCCTTTCAGATTTATTTCGGTTCCCCCAATTCCTAGAACACACCAAAGGATTGGAGTCCTTCGAGGATGCCCTAAGTGCCGTTTTGATGGGGTGTAAATCAGAGAGCTGAGTATTCTTTGGGGGGGCAGGGTGAGAGAGACGGAAACACTGACTTCTGATCAGCATCGACCCAGATGCTGAGAAACGTTCGCCTAATGTTTGGATGCTTCTGTTTAAGGGAGGGTTCTAAAGTCCAATGGCTTTTGCAGTAATGCCTTTTGACTTTCCCTGGCAGAACCCTGACACTCGGGTTTAGCAGTTTAGCCTACTGCAGAGCCAGACCAAACTTCAGGGGAAGCACGTCTTCTTCGTCTCTGGATTTCTGGAAGTGCCCAGAACAGGGGTGGTACTCAGTAGGCGCACCATAAGTGCTCAGCGAGCTGAAACATGGCACGGCTTTGCAGATGCGCGCAGTGAGGACTTGGGCGGGGAGAAAGTGGTGGGTGCCCTAAATGTGGGGAGCTTCATTTGTCCTAGAATTAAAAGATGCTGTGTGAAAACCAAACGGCCGCGGCCGAGGCTGGTTGCTGGGAGATGCCTGTAGCTGGTGAGGGTGCTGAGAGGAGCCAAAGAGAACAATCTCTGCTTGGGGCAGAAAGGGAAAGGGAGAGGCAGGAAATACTGGGCACCGCCCTTAATAACAGTAAATGGGAAAGGGAGAGACCCGCTTGTGGTGATGGAATATTTAGTGCTTTTAAGCTAAATACCTCAGCATATTAAGCAAATGGAGAAAAGCTGGCCAGAAGATGTCAGCAAATTGAACGGAACGGTGTTCAGAAAGCCGACCGGAGGGGTCTGGCTTTGACCCCTATTCCCATCACATGGCTCTGCAAGTCAGGTTGTTTAGCGTCGCCTCTCCTCTCCAGCTGCGTGGCTTATTGAAAAGCTCTTGCTCCCTGCCTGGTTTTGGCACATTTTCTGCAGGTGCCTCCTACTGCGGCCACAATGGGCTGCTCGGGAGGTTTAGACCTGTCAACAGCTACGGGGAGAGGGGGTGGCAGGAGCTGGGGGGCCAGGCATTGTCTTAAAGGGCCAGTGACATTGTGTGCAGCCCCGGCACCTGCTAATGAGATGAATCCTTTCTCCAGCTCCCTCTTTCTCTCTTTAATGATTTAACTTGATCGCCTTGGTTCCTTTCTGGAGGGGGAATTGCTCCATTGATCATATAAAGTAATTGCCTGTAAAACATTGCTCCGCAACAACTCCCGCTTCCCTGGCTGAAAATGTCAGGGCAATTGAAAAGCTCTTAGCCCCGTTCAAGAAGAACTGTCTTTGCACATAGCCCCAGGCACTTGTGTGTGCCCCGAGAGAAGTGTGTGCGTTTTTTGGGGGGGGAGAGATTGGGAAGGAGAAATGTCCTCTCCTGTGGTATAGCGGGGTGTGGGTTAGCATGCCATGCCGTTGTGGCTACTGTGGTGATTAGGGTTGGTGAGAAGCTGATAAACCCAAACAAGCCAACCACGCGTACAGCCTACAGCACCCACAATCACCCACTTTCAGAGAAAGCAGGGAAGTTTCCGCATGTCACCTGAGCCACTCTTTCTCAGCAGATGTGAATTCAGGGGGGCACCCCAGGGGCCAACGGTCGGTGGTGGTTTGGTGGTGCTTGGGGTCTTCCTTTCTCTCTGGCCGGAAGACATCCCTCAGGGGCCGCTGCAGCGAGAGGAGCTGACACGCTGAACTACGGCTTGTGCATTTCCCAGACCTGACACTTGGCGGCGGCAGCGACACATTTCTGGGAAGGTGGTCCACATACTTTTTAGAGTTTTCATCAACAGCTTGATTCAAGATGCACTTCCAGGCCGTGTGGGGCAGGGAATTCACCTGGGGGTGGGAGGAAGGGGCTGGGGACCCCTTTATCTTAGGCATGAAACCTACTACTGAAATAAACAGCTGCTCCGGCTGGTTTCTTTTTCCTCTGGCAGGTGAAGGCCTAAATTCAAGCTGGGGACAAGAGAGAATGTCTTCGGATTTAATGGGTGGGGAGTACCAGTTGCTGACCTGGAATGCTGCCTCTGTACTGATTTGGGAACAAAGCTCCAGGTGAATCACTCTGGGCTGGGATGAGCCCTGGGTATTTGCCAAAGTGGGAGGAGCAAGTGCAGTTAAATAGGTTGACTGTGAGAGTCCTTTTATTATCATTATTTTTTTAAAGGGCAGAAACATCTTCCCGCTGACAAACAAGAGTGTTGAGAGCTGAGTTTTAAAAGGCCGCTTAAAATTATACCTCTGCAGAAAGCCATAGGACTTTTTAGGTCTGAACCCTCTGAGAGGCTGTACACACAAATACGCGCACGCATGCACACACACACACACACACACACACAAATAGATACCCTTGGCATTTAGGATTTCAGCCTTTTGGTTAAAAAATATTTTAATGTAGTAATAATGTACACAAAAGTTCATTTAGGGCACTTACATACACTCCACAAGTGTATTTTGCACATAAAAGCTCTTTTTAAGTTTATCTACCTATCTAGTGAAAAAGAAAGGGGGTGGGGATTCCTGGAAACAAATACATTAAACAAACAGAGCCTTGGATAAGAAGAATGATGTTGTTGGCCTTTAACTATTTTCTCCTATTTATAAATAGTTTTCCTTATCTGCTTTTAAGAGGAGTTTTAAGGACTTGTTTTTTTGTTTTTGTTTTTTAATGAGGACATGGAACATATAGATGATGCCAGAGTTCTCTGTGACTCTAACATTCCCTCATCAAAAAACACAGACAGAGGGCCCCGGTCGTGAGACACAGACAGGTGAGAGGTAAATGCCTTTGGGGGTCCTTTCTAGCTGTGCTGTGTTGGGGTAGGTGGGTAAGGCAGAGTAAATGTGAGGGGTGACCCTGCAGGCAAACATGGGAGGGCCTGGATTTTCCCATCTGGAAACAGGCTCCCCTCTCCAAGAACAGAACAGGAGGCAGCAGCACACAAGAAAAGCAAAGGAAAGGTCCCTTCATGGATGGGGACTTTGGGGAGCCCTGGCCTTCAGGTCACATGAGCCAGCAGCAGGGACTCCCACAGTGAGTTCAAGCAGGCACTACTTCAACACCACCTTGCTACTACCTCCAGGGTTGGGAAGCAGGGAGGGGGGAAGGTCTGAAGAGAAAGGAGCAGAGGCAGCACAGGGTCAGTGGAGCGAACGTGGAATCTGCCGGCAACCATTGGACTAGTTGTACTTGGGTGGTTCCTCTTTGACTTAGTCTACAGGACACCCGGGGTCTGAAAGAATTCCAAAGTTCAGAGACAAAAATCAGGCCCACACAGGCCTCCCCGTGTGGATCGTCACAGCCGATTTTAAAATGCCTGGCTCTGCAAAGGATACATTGACCTCTGGTGAACGTTTATTTGGACTTGATTTTAAATGCAGTTTGTAAGGATGGTGGTGGGCGTGGGATTTTTTTGTTTGCTTCTGTGTTTTTCAGAAACAAGAGCATTTTAAAAGCGAGGCACCGCGCATCTACATTGTTAGAACACATGAGGGGGGGTGATGAGAACGACACCCCAGGCTTAGCTGGCAGCTTCTTCAGAGCCCCCGTTTGTTCATCTGCTCTCGCACACAGCGAAAGTCACACACACATCCATCGAGCACTTGATTCACTTTGGGAATTCACGTGTTGGCTTTGATTACCAGCACACAGCTCATCTGCTGGGCATGAATGCACAGCAAGGTTAGCATTCTTCTGAAAAACCCTTTTTATGCACGAGATAAACCGCCTGAACTTTGCTTCATAGATAACTCCTGAATTGGGGCGGGGGCACATTGGCTAAGGGAAGAAATGGATTTCCCTGTGGCTCTGCAGAATGCCCGGGATGGTTGTAAGTGAACTGAAATTTTCAGCGACATATGGGGGGTGGTGTGTACAAAATCAGACAGAAACTAGGATCACACACAGGCTTCACACACATACACATTCAATCGCAACCTTGGAGAGCTCTGCTCTACTTTTTTCGTTCCCTTCCGTTTCCTTAGAATTATATACTGCCAAGTTTCTTTTCTCTCAGGCATCAGAACACACAAGGCAGCCAGAAGCATTTTTCCGGCATTC